CTTCTTTACCTCTGCTGCTACTTTCATTTGACGAAGGAGAACGCATAGTAAGTAGTTCCAAGGGTTTTTATGATATTGGCAGGCAAGTATCAAATTCTAAGCTTTCGTCGCCATCTTGGACCGACTTCAGAATAGGCCAGGCCCGATTATGTTCGGCAAATTTTAAGCAACGTTTTGCGTTCGGAGCACCTTTTTGTGGTTCTAGAAACCTCACTCAATCTTCGCTATTCAGAGCAATTTTTGAGCAAAATATGGGTCTAGAGCACATCAAGCACGCAAAAAGTCAATAATTTCAGAAAATCTTCTGGCAGCTTATGTAAATGTCTTGAATTTTTATCAACCTTTTGAAACATAACCTGCCACTTGAAAACGTTTCGCAGATTTATTGCAATCCTTATCTAGTCATATAACGGATAATCGGCTAAAATGACGTTCGGCATCGTCAAATAAACCACGCTTTTTGTTCTCTCAGACTTATTAGGTATTCATAAATTTCTTCCATATTTGCGAGCAACTCTTTTAAAACTAAGTTTCAAGCTTTTCTTCTTCACCGATCTTACCAGCTATTGTGAATAACGAAAAATAAAAATTTTAATCAACGTTTATTTTCAAAAATATTAAAACATTTATGTGACAACTTTTGAAATTTAGGTAGCAATTTTTTCGATTTTTCGGCAATTTTTTAGCAACTTATTTCAGCGAGAATCTTTCCTTCATTATCGAGCACAATCAGGACAGCCCTAGCCTCGATCCCGCCGTAGGAAGGAAGGAATGCCGTGTGTCGAAACTGTAGAAAAAACAGAAGCGGACAGAATTCATGATGCGAAGCACCCATTTGCAGGCAAAACGGGTCAAAAGTAGCAAACAATATTTTTCGTCCTGTCGTTTTTTCGTGGAACAAAGAAACAAATCTGAGTCCCCATGAGGAATCGAACTTCACTCTTAAGCTCTACCACCGAGCCAAAGACTCCCCCATGAGCAAAGCCATTACAAATTCCAAATGTGACAGTCGTCCCACGCACAGTAAGAATTAGCAATGTCAATAGCGACACATTTGTTAGCAGAATAAGTTATATAGTAACTTCTGAGCTCGTTAAAGGAATAGCGAAAGTGTTTTTTCGACTTTGAGTCTCCATGAGAAGTTATAGGTAACGCATCATAATGAAAATGATAATGACCGAAGATCATTTGGATGGAACATGTTGTAATGGATAATTTAGTCAGGGAAAGAAACAGCTATAAATGCGATGATCTTCCGAGCCTACTGATTGTTTACGAGTTCTCTAAGCGGAAAAGTTGAGCTCTAAATTCAGAGACGGTCAATTGTGTTATATATCGTTGAACAAGTACCGGTAGACCCAACGATACAAGAGGATGCCGGGCTTAAAAGAGACTCTTCTAACAAAAACTCTAGATGATGAGAAAATACGGATCGAACGCATTTCATTATCCTAGGAGGCTGACCTGTATTAAACTTATACTTAGTTTTGTTTACCTTTCATCTTTCAGTGAACTGAGATTATATATATTTCCTTCGTGATCTTTCCAAACGCAGGTATTCTTGCCTGATATAGAGCGCCTATGCTCTTTGGACCGTGCCACGGCGCAGTTTGCTTTAGGATTTTGATATTGAATAGTTATAAGAAAAAACGCAGTGCTCAGAAGACTCCTGGACCAATTCAACAACAAAAACATGCTTCAGCAATATCTAAAAAAAACCGAGAGAGGGTCATAGATTAGTAGTTTGTGTTAATAAAGCATTAAGGTCCTCTCGCTACCTGCCTTTTTGTAAGCAAACTTTTGATGTTAAAGCGAAAGAAATCGACGTCACGAAGCGCAAACATCATTGATTTTCATGAGTGACTGTTAATGAACTCTGGATCAAATTAAGAAATAAACCAAAATAGACATTTGGGGGAAACCCCGAGTAACCTCGTGATACTCATGTGATTCAAAACCAACATGGGCAAGAGATTTGGAGATTGGCTTTAACATGAATAAACTACTGTAATTGAATTTCATGAGTGACTATTGATGAACCCCAGGTCAAATTAAGAAATAAACCAAAACAGACATTTCGGGGAAACCCCGTGTAACCTCGTGATACTCATATGATTCAACACCAACATGGGCAAGAAATTTGGAGGTTGGCTTTAACATGAATAAACTACTGTAAATGATTTTCATGAGTGACTATTGATGAACCCCGAGTCAAATTAAGAAATAAACCAAAACAGACATTTCGGGGAAACCCCGTGTAACCTCATGATACTCGTGTTATTCAACACAAACATGGCCAAGAAATTTGGAGGTTGGCTTTAACATGAATAAACTACTGTAAATGTTTTTCATGAGTGACTATTGATGAACCTCGGGTCAAATTAAGAAATAAACCAAAACAGACATTTCGGGGAAACCCAGTGTAACCTCATGATACTCATGTGATTCAACACAAACATGGTCGTGACTTTGACACGAATAAACTATTTAATCGAGAAACTGTTGCAAACCTACGACCCTTCGGTTTCTTTTGCTTACTGAAAGAAGGAAGGAATGCTTGAAGAATCTCTCGGTTGAATTCATTCAATATGATATGTCGGCAGAGGAGACAATATTGCGCCGTTGAGGATAATTCCCTTTGTCAAATATGCAATCACATTAAATTTTAAGAAAGCTTTGACACTCACCGGCGACTAATTTAAGTTCCGGGGAGTAAAAAAGCTATGTTTTGCCCCTCCAGAGTCGTTTCTAGTATTGAGGGGGCTATCAGTCCAAGAACTAAAAGGACATGTCCGCTGCGTGAAAAAATCTAAAATTGGCAATTTTTACTCCGAGTGGGATTGAGTGGTCTGGAATGAAACTCGAACTTAAGAGCAATAAAGCTTCATGACGGACTTAGACCACTACTAATTCATTTTGACAAAGTGTACAGTAAAATTCAAAGTATGTATGTCACATTCAAAGTATGTATGTCACTTAACAAAAAGCAAATGCCAGATTTCTTTTTAATTTTATTTGTGACTTTTAGACTAATTATCTCTCTGGTGCGTACAGAAATTAATAAATTGAAATTGCACGTATGTATTTTCTCTTCCAAAAGTTATAGTCAAGGCTCCAATAGCCATCTGAACCCAACGTCATTCAGCTGGATCTTTTAGTTCCTTTTAGTTCCTTGCACCAAATAAGCTCCTTTCTTGGTACTTAGACTAAATTTATAAGGCATTAACTTAATGTACAGTTATGGTTTTAATTTCTTTTCAATTACAAATAAAATTCAGATCTTCCATTAAAAATTATATCATCATTAACCTTAGATTTTCTCCTGCACACTCGTTTATGCGTTAATCGCTCACCTTCTGAACAATGCCTACTTTTCCTAGTTCAGAGTCCCAAATAAATCACAGTTCAGGCATTAATTACTTGCAATTGAAAGATTACTTAAAAGCCAACTTGACGAGCAATAGTAACATAACTTTCAATAGCAACGCATTGTAAACACTAGAACTTCATAATATAACTACACTCCTCCTTAATGAAATTATTTGGCTTTTGAAGTAATGTCATTTTATGGGTAGTAAATATCAACCCTTCTGCTATGGATCAAAAGTGATTGGTTACGAAATTTGAGCTCCATCCAAAAAACTAGTGACCATGTAAAAAAGGTAGCATCCGTAGAATTCCACTAAGTAAAAGCTTATTAATGGCGGATATCCCTATCTCGCAAATAATAGACTTTGATTTTTAGCAAGTTCTTTCAAGGGGACGATGATTTAGTGCTCCTATTGAGGAATTCATCCTATGGTCCTATGAGACAGCTTAACAATAGATACTCAGATATTAAGCTTCTAGGATTATCGCATATGCTTCGTAGGGGCGCAGCGAGGGCTAACCTTCCTTATAAATTTTGGTTCTTAAGGCAAATTGCAAATTATTCAGGCACCTTCCCGGTCAGGACCGTCTTGTCGCAGTCGTCGCCTATCTTCATCTTCTTGAGCTTTGTTCAGTGTTGCGGTTAATCATTTTCCACCTTTTACAGCATTTCTTCAGAGTTGCCAATGAGCCAACTAGTCAAAGGTCCCCAGCGATTGGAACCACGATTTCAAAAGAAATATATGCTGGCTGCACACAATAGCAAGGAACCAGGAGACGTTATATTGAAGTGGTAGATGTGTTTCATGAACGTAAATATCATCGGAAGAGGCGTTAGCGGAGTAATTAAGCCCCCATCCATCAATTTTAAAAATATCATTTAATTTGATACTATACGATTTTTGTGGTGGTACTGTCAAGACAGTGCCAGGTCTTTCACGCTAATTAATTTATTAATTCTTTATTTTGTACTGATTTCTCAACTTTTTCATCCCTTCTCCCGTAAAAACGAAGGTCCTGTTTGACTGTTTGAGGACATTTTCAGTAAGATTCTAATGCTTCTAATGTTTACTGATATAACCTATGTTACGGTATAATTCCACCGACCGAAAGAACAATTTTACAGACTCGTACAACCACTTTCTTAAACGCCGAGTAATATTCTTATTTAGGAGCAACTTAAGCTCCAATAGACAATACAATAATTATCTTTAAAAGACTTACTAAGGTACCGCTGAGGTACCGCCTTCAATGTGCTTTTCGTATTAGTTTCCTCATTATAAATTCAGCGCGGAGGATGGAGTACTACATGTTTACACCTCAAGTCACCTCTAAGAAAAAGAGATGTCGAACGTGTTAAAATAAGACCGCCAAAAGGAATAAGAAATGATCAACTGTATTATTTTTACGGAATGGCTTATAGTAATATTTTATTAAAAAAACACCTATAATGAAAATTCTTGTTAGATGCCAATTTCGTCTTTTAATAACATTTATCTTACAGTTGTTATTCATAAGCTTACTAATTTCTGATCCATGGACGGCAATCCTGGTTCCTAATAACATGAAAACTATATGTTTTGCTACTCGAATCGATTTTGGTATTGTTCGTCTATAAGATTTTGGCCATCGTCGTTGTTCCTATTCTGTCTCCTCAAATGGCGCCAAACAAACCATAGAACGATCATGAGGGTGAGAGGACCAACAGTGGCAACAACTGGAACTATGACTTTTTTCGAATTGGCTGCGTCTAAACAAAGGAAATATCTAAATGGACATGAACTTTTATTATAAAGCGCTGCTTTTTCTTTCGACCAAAATTCTGAAAAGCCCACATGAAGATTTGCAGGAATTTTATTTATCAGACAATTAATTTTTTTATTCTGACATATTCTTTGTTTGTTTGTTTGTTTGTTTTTTCCATTTTGGGTTGGACACACTTTTTGAGTAAACAGTTAAGGAGTTCTATAAATTTCCAACTTCGAGAATAGGATTGAACTGCCTAGTCAGTAAGGATTCATCAATGGTGCTCATTAAAATCATCTGAAGAGAATTCGCCGTTTCAATCAGCGTGTCTATGAAGTCATTGTACATAATTAAACTTACAATGAGGATTCGGAGATTTTGTTGGACAACCATTCCCACATGCGCATAGGTGGGTCAACTGAAATATCTGAGGGTTTGATAAAGATAAGAATATGATTTCCTGATTAATACACTTATAAAGGAATCTTGCCTTTAAAATGCATATTTTACGTGTTATAAATAGCGATAAAGGATTGATAGGCGTTCTTTATAAACCGCAGTAATTGTTGTTGAAGCGGTTACTTGCATTGTGGCATGTGACACAGCTTTAATGACAGCTTATCGAGAGATAACAACAACTGCTTGATATGGGCTCTACTTAACAGTTATGCTTAACGGTATTATACTCTCTCTCTCTCTCTCTCTCTCTCTCTCTCTATATATATATATATACTGCGTCATACTATATTCATAAATCAGTATTAGCATTACTAAATACGATGAAGTAAATCACGGAACAGTCGGGAATATTTTGGAGTTTTCTAAAACATTACTCAACAAGTGTAAAATCTGAAGTCATAACTAAAAAAAAAGGGGGTAGTAAGCCAGTGCAGCTTTCAAAGTACTTACTAAAGAATTAACGTGTCAGCGAATGCTTAGACAAACTTTACGTACCCAGTTATCTTCGTCAAGTACTTCAAATTCGGCATCATCTTTGCTTTTCTTGTTTTCAGCACACTTCAGTGTGACAGTGGCTGATTTATGTGGGAAGTCTCTACAAAATTGCGAATTTAGTATTAATATGAAATATAATAGTATGACAAGTAGCTTGCATGAAGACCTGCGTTTTATCGAAACGTAGCTAGAAATCGTATTTTATCACACTAGGGTAAAAACCCCGCGATGCAAAGGCACATTTAATAAGGAATAGAAGCTCTTATTTCAACGACTCTTTAATCCAACCAGCCTGTTGTCACGATTAACGATCCTTGATGGACTTTCAGTTAAATTTTTCAACTATAAAATTTTATTTTCGTCTTCTCGGATAGGACGTAAAACCGTAGGCCCCGTCTCCTGCAGGGTTGGGGTAGGAGACGTTAATTTCCCACGCACGAGATTACTGTGAGGTGGATGTCCTCCCCTGGGGTGGGATGGGTGGAAGAGACACTAATTGTAAAGCGCCTTTGATCATTCAAATGTTAAAGGGCGCTATAGAAGTAAAGTAAATTAAATTTAATTTAATTAAATCCGTTGACTCTTTACCGAGACTTATACACCAAAGACGGCTTTTTGGTCGCTTTGTTCATGTGACATCTTGCCCTTCCCTGCATTCCAATTGTTTGATATGAAACTGGTGGAGTCCACCAGCAAATCTGAAACAGTCGAGACAAAGATCAAGAAGACATAACATGCATCATTATGTTTCATTTTGAAGAGCAAATATGGGCCCTCTACGAGGAGCATTCTCCTAGATAGACTGGCCTGTTATGCCGCGCCCTTTCAAATGCCTTTTGCAACTTCTCATCTACAGTGACGCTTACAGAAAAAATAAAAGTCCTCTGATAAACCGAATTTAAACATTTTGCATGAAGCACGAAACTATCATCAGTGCTTCTGATTCCTTTCTGCAAACAAATGCCCATATATATATATGTGCATATAATAATTTATAATAATATATATGTGTATATATAAATTTATTTATATATATATATATATATATATAGGGAGTCTGCAAGTCGATTTTCATAAATCGATCGTCATAACAAGCGCAGTTGTTTGGAAACGGTATGGACACCGAATCTTTCTCTATAAATTTTCCTTGAACTCTTCTGAAGTGTAAGGAAATGTACACAAAGGGAACCCAGCAATAAATCCTTGTCCACATATTTGGCATCAACATGGGACTGCTTCTTCTGAAAAACAATCCTATGAATTGTTGTAAAGAGAGGGTAAAATGGTTTCCTAAAAACAGCAAAACTACCAATGAGTTATTCATGTAAACTTCGAATGAGGTCCCTACTACCATAGTGGCAACGTTTAACGTATGAAATGAATATAAGATTGAAGGTTCTCCTGGATAGAGACATTTTTCAACTCATCAAGACATTTCAATTTGTTGAATTAGCAAATGTGATCAGTTTGGATCACAAATATATACAATTTAGATATCTTCAATTCATGGTCCACATGTTTTCGAAATCACTGCTCAATTTATATTAGTAAATATCAGTCTGCGACGATTATTGGAGTAATTTCTTTTTAATTTTCTCATGGGCAGAATGAATAGTTGAACAATCGGAATGCTTATCGTGCTTAATACCGTAAAACACAACGGAGATAACAGGTTGGGCAAAGCGATCTTAGTACCTAAGGTGCCGCGCTCCTTAACAACTTGACGAAACGTTTGTAAAAATACTCGACGAAACATACCTCGATGTATATCGAAACTTCAAGTCTAGGTCTTTTAAAGGGCTTGGTGGTATCACGATGGGGCAAGACCACCCCTAAAATGGGTCGTTATCCTGTGGGAATTTTTTCAAGATGGTGGCCTTCAAACGCATAAGACCTTATGGATTGAGAAGTGAAGGGATCAGATGGTTTAAAGTGGCTTATTTTAACCGGGATTTTAGTAGCCTGGTAACAATAGAGTAATAAATGGCGCCTTTTTTTCAAATTTTTCAGGTCTATTGCTCTCTATTGATATGTAATGTGGGTATGGTAGTGAAAACTTAACCGAGTAACGTAGTATGATTGGAAACGAAAATTTCGAAGAGATTCCAGCTGAAGAGAGTTCAAGGTAACGCTTTTCTATCAAGATTTTCTCTGAAGATGAAAACTCACATTAAAATCGAAAATCGTACGAAGTTTGTTCATTGTCTCTTCTCATTAAAAATGTGCATATTCATAGCATTTCGCAAAACTGTAACTCTTCTTAAATTACTATTCTGCGAAACGAAACGAAACGAAACGAGATGAGATAGAACAAAAATAAAGGAATAAAGCAGATATATTCTCTAATTAGGCAAAGATAACTTTCAAAAGAATTTTGGAGTAATCGTTCATTAACGTGAAGGATTTTTATTCATTTCGCAAAATAGTAATTTAATATGAGTTACAATTTTGCGAAATGGACTATTTTCACCGTGCAGTGACAACGTGACCTCTTTCAAGTCGCAAAAATACATTTAGACATCATTAATTAGTATATCACCAAAAATTTTTGCCTCTTCTCATTTCTTAAACCGTATTAAAATATATTTCGCAAAATAGTAATTTTACCAGAGTTATACTATTTTGCGAAATGGACGATTTTCACCTTGCGGTGACAACGTGACCTCTTTCATGTCACAAAAATACGTTTAAACATTTCAAATTAGTATATCACCAAAGATTTTGACCTCTTCTTACTTCTTAAACCGTATTAAGATACATTTCGCAAAGTAGTAATTTTAGGAGAGTTACTACTTTACGAAATGGACTATTTCGAAATGGACGGTGACAACGTGACCTAGCTCTTTCATGTCACAAAAATACATTTAAACATTACAAATTAGTATATTCCCGTGTCACACAACAGGTTTTCGGTAGGTTTTAATTTAAAGCACTTTCAAGTTCCAAACGATCTAAGCTATCTCCACCTATATAAAAGTCTTGTAAGTATATTTTACGAGGTAGTAATTTTGGACGAATTGCTATTTTGCAAAATGGAACATAAATGATTGAAATGCCGCCAGAGAACACTGACTGGTGAGAGATAATTCCAGCTGGTACTGTGAAAGCCAAGATAAAAGCTGATTATGAATAAAGCAAGGAAAACCAAGTGAGACGTTTGCGTGAGCTGTATGAAGGAGGTCTCATAGGTAAGAGGAAGTACGCAAGCATCAGAAACAGTTCAGATGTTGAAAAAGAAACTGGAATGAAAATGAAAAACCAGAAAACAGAATTTATGAAAGGATGTGAAGTTCCAAAA